TCCCTCGGCACCTCAAACTCATGTCCAAAACCAAACTCATCATCCTTTCCCCCAAAACCTCTTGTCAACTTCCATGTTACTTTTGGGCACCATGATGATCCTGGCAGTCACTCAGGCTCACAATTTGCTACCTTCCTTACTCTTGATCGCCCCACATATCCCCTCCACAGCCAGGTCTTCACAGCATGTCTCCTGTACTCTGCCCGTTCTCTCTACTTGCACAGTCACTCTGCTCCTTCAGGCCCTCATCACTTTTGGCCGGGTCTGTTAAAACATTCTTTTAATTGATCTCCCTGACTCATCTCCCCCGACTCTAGTCCATCCTCTACACAGCTGCCGAAGTGATTTTTGTGACCACATCCTCCCCTACTCAGCAAGCTCCGGTAACTCCCACTTACCTCCAGGAACAAACAGAAACTACTGTGTTTACCATTTAAAGCCCTTTGTAACCTGGCCCTTTCCCACCTTCCCGTTCTTTTTACACTTCCTTCCATGAGTGCCACAGGGCAGCTGGGTGGGCCTCTTCTGCAGCTAGCTCTCTTCCTGTGCCTAGGAGGTACCTCTTCCCTTCTGCCTCCCTGGCGTCTTTCAGGATCATCTTAGATCCTGCCTTTGGCAGGAGACCTGACTCAGTTTGCCCCTTCCCCTGGAACAACCCCTTCAGCTTGCTCTTTGCACTTCTTGTGTGTGCCCCATTAGAATGTGAGCCCCTTGAAGAGCAGGGACTGTTTTTGCCCTTTTTAGATTTTTTGTATCCTCAAGCCCCGTGCCTGGCACCTGGGAAGCACTTAAATGCTTGTTGATTAGCTGTTCTAGACATGTCCTTTCACCTCTATAAGCCTCATTTTCTCCGTCTGTAAAATGGGAATGATAATACTTTGGCTACTGACTTGATAGGGTGGTTGTGAAGAAACTATTTTGTACACCTGAAAATTTTTGTTTATTGTTGTTACACACCAGCCACATTCAACTGCCCTTATTTTCCTTCAATGTCTCATAACTCGGCAGAAACTTATTTGAAGCTAAAAACATGGAGAGATTTGCAAAAATGAAAGTTCCAAGTGTTTAAAACCAACCCATAGTTTTACAGCTTGTTTTAAAGGGGGCCAGGGAGCCCATTTATCCCCATATGTAGTCTTTGCCAAAGGTTTTCTAAGCCGTGATACACCTGGGGGCATATGCCGTGGAGTCCTTTTCTCCTGCTTTGTCCATACAGCCACCTGTGCCATCTGTCCACTCTCACCATCTTCCACGTCCCATGCCCACCGTATCACATAAAGACATATGCCAGCTGTCCTCTTCCTTCCATTGTGATTACCCCAACATACCGAGGACATCATTGTACCAGAACCAGGGTGATTAACTCATTTTGGTGTCATGGACCCTTTTGGCAGTCTATTAAAACCTGTGGAGCCCTCCTCAGAATAACATTTTTAAATGCATAAAATATACGTAGCATTATAAAGGAAACCAACTTATGTTTTTATAATATAAAATTTTAATAATTCTATTTAATAAACAATTATAATTTGATTATCTAATTTAAATTACTTGTTTATTAATAATTATTTAAATTAAATTAAATTTTTTTCTTTTTTAAAAAGCAGAGGTTACAGACCCCAGGTTAAGAAGCCTTGCACTAAAATGTTCATAGTGCACCTTTTAGGACTGAATGACTTCTCATAGATCAAGAAGTTTCTCACCTTCCCGTGGGGAATTAAGCTAAGGGTTAAATTAGAGACAGCTACCTAGGCAAAGAGTCTAGGGGAAGGAAATAGGTCAGTTCTTTCCCCTTGACTGAATAGTAACTACAAAGATTTACGTTTTCTTTAGAGCAAGGGAGAGTTACCAGTATTCTGGCTTGCTTTTCTGGAGAGCCAAGAATGAGTGGTGGGGGAGAGAGGGGAGAGCAGAATTCAAGAGGAAGAAAAAAGTGTGTGTGTGTGTGTGTGTGTGTGCGCGTGTGCGTGTGCGTGCACGCGCATGTGCACGTGTGCACCAGCAACACCATGTCTTGCTTCTTCACCTTCATTTTTCTCTTCTAGCTTTGTCAGTGATAGACAAAGTGAGATTGGAAATTGGGATGCCTTTGATGAAAAGTCAGAGAAGTAGGTGCCCATCGATTGGGGCATGGCTAGACAAATTGTCCTATGGGGATGCAGTGTAATAATACTGTGCTGTAAAAAGTGAGGCAGATGGAGAATTCATAAAACAACTTCTGTAAACTGGTGTGTAGAATGAAGTATGCAGAACCAAGGAAACGTTATGCACAGAGACAACAGCAGTGTAAACCAAAACAACAAAATGAAACTGAATGACCGAGCCTGGGCCCAGGGAGAGGATGAGAAAATGCACCTCCCTCCTTTGTTGGAATTTTGCCACGTGCTTGGCCTCGATTGTTGCGTGGTGGTTTTTCTGCTTATGTTGTTGTAGTCATCGTGTATGTTGTTTTCTAGGCTTTCCTTCCTTTCCGCTGCATTAGTTCATGTGAGTCTTCCTGCCGCCTCGTACTCCTCGTATTCACCATTGCTTCCGTTCACACGCTGCCGTTTGTTTAGCTGCTCCCCAGCTGATGAGCATCTCCTTTGTTCTTTCTCTGTTGGAGATGGGGAGGCCTACTTGGTGGATGTGTTAGATTTGCTGAGCTGAAACCTTTATTATAAGTGAAGGCTTTATTATTAGGTAGTGTGAGAGGAGAGGTATATATAAATTATACCCTAAAATATACATATAAATGAATGAAATATAAAAACAAAAAACCATTCATTCAAAACTTTTTTTTAACAAAGAATTCAATCTTCCAATTAAAAAAAAGTATAATGAGGGTAATAAGGGAGGCTTCCATGATCCTTTTTGAAAATATTATCTTGGGTTTTGTTTTGTTTTTTGGTTCCTGGAGAGAGATTACGTGGGTAGAAATGAGAGTATGCAGACAGCTGCTATGGAGCAGGCACATGTGCTTCCTTGGGAGTTGGACTCTTAAGTCTTTCCTATGGGAACCTCCTATCATGAGCTCTCTATGGCAGTATGACCTTAGTCATACTTGAAAGCATTTTCAGCCCAGTTCTCATGAACAACCTTTACGTTTATTGAAAACTTTTATTGTTGTCATTATTTGAGGAATTAGGGCCCATTCAGGAGGGGATGTTTGATCTAGTATGGAAAGAAAGGGGATCATAAGCTGAAAAGTTGAGGGAGCACTGCTGAAAAGTATTTTGATCAGTGCCACTGAGGACATTTCTTCCAGAGAAGGGTGCTCTGAGGGCTCCAAATGATTTTGACTCAGATACCAAGAATCTGTTTAAACAATAGCCTAGGCTAGATCTAATACCCATGAATCTTAACAACTATAGCTTCTTCTAGTGGGGATTGGGTTAAGGGATCAAAGCTAGGAATATCTAAATGGAAGCAGCCAGCTCTTGAATGTCCTGGGAATAGCAGATGTTCCAGGAATCCCTTCCCTATGCTTCTCATTTTCTCAGGAGAGTTTGGAAACAAGCCATACTGACCTTCTCAATATTGCTCACACGCTACACCCCATCTCCCCTCTCTGTGCCCTTGCCTTGGCCATCCCAGGACCTGGAGTGCTCTCTTTGGTATTTGGTAGCAGTCCCTAAAGTCCCAGATCCCTGCACTCTCAGAGTGAGTAGCTGATGTTCAACTGCTTGTGCTCTCAGCTGCCCCTCTCTGTTGGTAGGATAGCCCCTCATCATTCTTGGTAAGTCCACACCCCCTTGTCCAAGCCCCAACCTCGTCCTTTTTCTAGATCAGTTTGTGGCTTGTGCCCTCTGAACTGTTGTGGGCAGGTAGGCAGCACAGTGAATGAGGTGCTGGACTTGGAGGCAGGAAGACCTGAATTCAAATCCATCCCTCAGGCTCATCTAGCTGGGTGACCCTGCACCAGTCACTTAACCTCTTTATGCCTTAGTTTCTTCATTTGTAAAACAGGAGTAATAGTAGCAACTACCTCACAGAGTTGTCTGAGGACCAAAAGAGGTAACATGTAAAGAGCTTTGCAAACCTTGCAGTGCGGTGTGAATGCCAGCTGTTATTATTAACTGAAAGACAGGAAATTCTGCCCTCCAGAGACTGTCTCAGACAAAATCAAGAAGCCCAAGACAAGAGAAAGGAGAATACACACCTTGATTTCTGGCAGTTCCTTGTTAAGCAGGCTAAAATACCAAGCACCAAGAAAGCTCCTGGAGGGGAAGTAGGTGAGCTTGGTGGTCCTCTGCTAAAGGCTAAACAGGAAGCCTGCAGCCCCTCCCCAGCTGAATTCCCTGCCCCCTACTGTGAGAGGCGAAGGGCTCTCGCCTCTCAGCTCATCCTCTCTCTGTGGCACTGCCACTCTCCAAAGAGGAGTGATGTCTCCCCTGCAGGGTCTAGGAACAAGTCATCGTAGTCTTTTGCTGGTCTCCGGTTCCCTCTACTCTTGGAATCCTTGGTTTCCTTCAGCTTCCACTCAAAGCCTTTCCTAGTCCCCACAGCCATGCTGCTGGTGCCTCCCCTTGCCCCCACCCCCAGCTTTTGGGCTTTTTTGGTATAGATGTATTTATGTTCATGTTGTGTGTCCCCACCCCACCCCACTAAGTGGGCACTTAAATCCTTGTTGAGGTGTTGGTTGAAGCAGAGATTCTATGCCCCAGGTAGAAGACACCTGAACCCAGGCTGCCACTCTGGGCTGAGACCCAGCACTTTGGTAGAGTCTCAGCTACATGAATTTTAATTCCGCATTTGTCTTCTTTCTCTCTGTCTCCCACATTTGGCAGAGGCTGGATGTTGTAGAAGAGATTCTTCTAGGTACAAGTTGTACAAAATGGCCTCTGAGGTCCCTTCCAGTTCCAAGGTTCCACCCCTCTGTGCGTGGGAGCTGGCCCAAGCCAAAGCCTCTGCTCTCTTTTCCCTCTGTCCTCCTGCAGCGTGCCTGATAGGAGCACCGTGCTCAGTGTTTGCACACAGTGGGTGTTCAGTCATAACTGACTGTGTCTCTCGTTCCCCAGCCTTTGCCATCATGATTGTCCTGGCACTGATCCGTATCGGACACGGGCAAGGAGAAGGGCATCCACCCATAGCAGACTTCTCTGGGATCCGCAACCTGTTTGGAGTGTGTGTTTACTCCTTCATGTGCCAGCATTCTCTGCCGTCCCTTGTCACTCCCATTTCCTCCAAGAAGCACATCGCGCAGCTGGTGCTGCTGGACTACGTGTTGATCCTGGCCTTCTATAGCCTCCTCTCCTTCACTGCCATCTTCTGCTTCCACAGCGACAGTCTCATGGACATGTACACCCTCAACTTCACTGGCTGTGATGTGGTGCGCCTGGCCGTGATCCGCTTCTTCTTGGGTCTCTTCCCCGTCTTCACCATTAGCACCAATTTCCCCATCATCGCCGTGACGCTGCGCAACAACTGGAAGACGCTCTTCCACCGCGAGGGGGAGATGTACCCGTGGGTGGTAGACCGCGTTGTGTTCCCCATCATCACTCTGGTGCCTCCCATCCTTGTGGCCTTCTGTACCCATGACCTGGAGTCCCTCGTGGGGATCACGGGAGCCTACGCTGGCAATGGAATCCAGTACGTCATCCCTGCCTTCCTGGCGTACTACAGCCGGAAAGACACAAAGCTCGTATTTGGGTCTGGTACTGTCAACAAGCACAAATCCCCTTTCCGAAGTACCTTCTGGGTGGGCTTTGTGCTTGTCTGGGCTTTCTCTTGCTTCCTTTTTGTCACAGCCAACATAATCCTCAGTGAGACGAAGCTTTAACTGTGGGAACATTTCCCAACGCCTGCAGGATTGCAGGCCTTCCTCTGTCCTCCACCTTCATGCCCACTGTCCTTCCACCCCAGGGCAGACACTGGCCGTTGCTGGTAACCAAGCCTGATGGTTGTTACAAGGCCCATTACCTCTCTCTACACCCAAGACCCCACCAGAGACGGCCTGCTGAGTCCCCTGCATGGTACCCTGGGTGGAATTTAGAAGCAGTGCTGGCACTGTGACATTTTATTTATACTGGACCCAGTGGGTGCTTCCCTACTCATTCACCCCGACCTAGGTTGTGGGATGACCTAGGTCTTTGTTTTAGGAGATCTGTTGCAGAGGCTAACCCTCAGCCCTAACCCCTCCTACCTGCTTCTCCCTCACCCAGAACATGTCTTGCTTCCTGAACTGCTAAGAAACCGATATAGTGAAAGCACATGTCACTTTTGCCTCAGCACAATGGGAAGCAAGCAGGGCCTGTAGCCACAAGGACAAGGGGGGCTGATTAGCCTCAGAGTCCCTGGAGCAGAGCTGTGGGCACCCCTGCTGTGGCTGAATAGAGACGAGGTCGCTAAAATACTGACCTGGTTCTAGAGTCAGGTCCAGGGCTCCTGTCTTGACTGGGGCCTTAGTATTCCCCGGGAGGGAAAATAAAAGGGCCCTTTCATCTTTTCCCACATCCCACAGGACTTAGGTCCTCTGTTAAGTCCTCAGGGTTAATGAGGAAGGGCAAGAAAGACAAGGGAATCTCTGAATCTTCAGTTTGGAGGTGTGCCGGGTGAAGGAGATACCGTACCCCTCTGCAGGCCAAGGATGTTCTGGCAGCAGCCCCACGTCAGCTTCCTGAGCTTGTCTCTCTGAAGCAAGTTAAGCATGGCATTAGAATGGGCAGTAAGTTGGGACCACCTGAAGAACAATCACCTCAGACACACTTGGTGCCTTTGGTCACCTTTGGGGTGACTCTTGAAATGTCTGGCAGCTGAAATCACAGCTCCCAGGAAGACAGTGGTGGTCCTGTGGGGGGCCAAGATCGACCTGATTCACAGCAGGGAGGAGGGAGAGGCAGCCACCGAGCAGCCGATGGCCAGCCACCTGATGCATCCTTCATCATCTTGCTGACAATGGAAAAACCACATAGGGTAATGGGAGGGAGCCACCCATCCCCTCCACCTGGACACAAGACTTCTGTATCATGTACCATCTCTTTGCCAGATGCCAAGCTCTTCTGAAAGGAGGACTGACCCCGTCCATGATTCTAGCCCCTTCTCACTGTTCTTCCCCTCTCTTCTCTACTCACTACATTCACAACTGCTACTGCCCTGTCATGAACTTTGTATCAAACGTGCCTTCTCCAGCATCAGGGTCTGGGTCCTTCCTGCTGAGGTACAGTACGGCCCAGATTATTCTCATGTTCTCTGTACCCCTGTAGTCTGGGGTCAAAAGCAGTCAAGTGTAGAAAATGGGGTTCTGCTGGGGGGAGGAGGGCGAGGCTTCTCTTTAAGCTGGGTCCTGATCCCCTCCCTGCAACCCACCTAATTTCAGTGCCTTGCTCAGCACCTTTTATTTCTCCTCACCTGCATCCCACACATTTCCCTGTCAGGAAGAAAAAATCTAGTCCTTGAGGGTAGAGATGATCGAAAGAAGACTCCTGCCAGAGGACTGTGGGAGCATAGGGTGAGGAAAGGAGAATCGCCTTAAGGAAGAAGACTGGGCCGTCCGGAAGCAAACACACCCCTGCTGTTAGATCTCATGCTGCCTGAGCCCGGTGGGGTGCTTTTGAGAATTAGATTGTCTTAATTGGACATTATCTTCTTCCAATTCATCATCTTGTGTTTTGTCTCATAGCTCATCACTACATTTAATTATTTTCCAGCCAAATGAAAAATAAATGCCCCTTCCCCATCTGCTTGTATACTGACTTCCTATGCTGTCTCTGGCTGCCACTCGAGAATGGGGTGGGGCAGGGAGAGATCTGTGCCTTCAATGACAAAAATAATGAGGTGCTGGCCTGTCCTGCCGTCTGGGCTGTCCTCACGTCTCCCTAGCTGTTTGCTAAAAACTCGATTAAAACCTCTGTACTGACCCTTTTCCAATTATATTCCCTCACAAAGGACAAAGAAAATTAAGCCATCTCACTGTTTCAGGCTCCAAAGTTGGTACTAGCAAATTGAGTAACACCATGAGGCAGGATCTGATACATGAAACCATGAGGTATTGCACAGCCACTGTGCAATGTTGTCCTGTTTCACATCAGTGATTCAGACACCAACATCTCTAAGTGTGGCATAGATGTGACAGATGCTAGGGCAGGGAAGCTGCCTAATCCTTAAGTTGTCTGATTCCTTTCCTTTTGCTCTTCTAGAGCAAAAACTGAAACATGAGCATCCACCCCATTTCCTAGGGTACTGTCCGAAGGAACTCAAGTCCCTAAGAACCATGGGCCCCTACTGGGGTTTTCAGAGGATGGGCTGACTTGTGTTTGGTGGCCAAATGAGTTGCTAAGGCAGAATGTGATCTCACTCCTTACAAATGCCTTGTTGTGAATTTGGACCCAGCTTCCTGGGGCTGCATCAGAATGGAGTAAGCTTTGTCTCATGCCCACCTTCATCCCTGGGACTAGAGTGATCCTGGCATGAGGGATTCAGGCATCAAAGCAATTATCTCCTGCTGCACTTTGGTGCCCAACCTTACGAGGCATGAGCTCCTTTTACCAATAATTCCAGGGCTACAGGGGCAGCTTCAGGCTTATTGGATAGGACAGATGGTTGGTAACAGAGTAGGATAGACACTGCAGAGTGATGGAAGGTGGGCAAAGGGCACCTTGCCAGGCCCACAGCCACACAGCTGTTCTCACAGTATGGAAGCCAAGAGCAGCCGTAGCAACAGGCAGAGACCAAAGCCAGAGTGAAATTGAGGACAGTTTCTTCTCCCCAACTCCACGAGAACCTTAACAGCAGTCAGGAGCTGAAGACAGAGCTTCAGGATACATAAGGATAAGGATTCTTCTCTGAAGTACTGCAGAAACTGAGGCAGAGAAACTTGAGCTCAGGGCAGCTAGGTGGTGCAGTGGATAGAGCACCGGCCCTGAAGTCAGGAGAACCTGAGTTCAAATCCAGCCTCAGACCAAACACTTGACACTAGCTGTGTGACCCTGGGCAAGTTATTTAACCCCAATTGCCTAAAAAGAGGAGGGAAAAAAGAACCTGAGCTTCCAACGAGAAATCGCCGTGACCATTCTGGGTCCCTTCCCTAGGGCAGGCCAGCAGCTCAGCCAACCCTGCCGGGGGCCCAGTTCCTTGGACAAGGTTGCCCTTTGGGGACTGATAGACCGATGCTTAGGCAACGTCCACAGCCCTAGAAAGGAATCCCTGTTCATAGAATGGACAATGCGTGTGGCCTAGATTCCAACAAAGGTCAGCCTGTGCCCATTACCCCCCAGTTTCCCCAACTGTGTACGTAATAGGACGTTGACTTGAAATAATGCTTCTCTGGACACTCCTTGCATGTAGCACATCTACTATGTGTTATGCACTGTGCTAAACACTTTATAAATAGATCTCATTTGATCTCCCACCAGCCCTGGTGGGAAGTAGGTACTGTCATTATCCTCATTTTTACAGTTGAGGAAAATAAGGTATGCAGAGGTTAAGTGACTTGCCCAAGGTCACGCAGCTTGTTAGTGACTGAGGCTAGATTTGAAATAGGGTCTTCCCAATTCCAGTGGCAGTGCTCTATCCACTATACCAGCTGCCCCTATGAATGGTGTTTTTTCCTTTACAGCTCTAGCTCTTAGCATGGTGCCTGGCATATGAGGACTTAATAAATGCTTGTTGACTGAGATCAAATTAATGTCATAGCCCTGGAGCCAGAGATCTCTCCCCAAGACTGAATTAATTTAACGCAGCGCAAGGAGGTACAAGGGACCTGCTAGAATCTTGATCCTATCATCTGTCTTCTTCCCGTCCCTCTGGCCAACTTCAGATTCTCTTAAGGTCTGAAAATCCCTTTAGGGTCTCCCTTGCTCCCCTCGGGGACATAGGGGAAGCTGTCGCTGCTCCTGTGGCATCTGAGGGGAGGCGACTTGGAGATGAGCTTTTCTTGAAGGTCTTTAAAAATGCCATCAGCCTCTACTTATCTAAACTTTATGGGAAGTCCTGACTGGACGCAAAAGTTCAGCCTCTCTGCAGATGGGAACTTATTTTGCAGTGGGTTTGATGCTCTGTCCACCATCAACTCCATGGCACTGTCTCTGCCTCCAGACTTCACACTCTGAAACAGCTTTTCTTTCTCTTCCCCTGACTGCAGGAGGCCTTGACCTTGGTCTTTTCTTGGAGAGGCCTGGAGAGCTGCTGCACCCTTGTAGTTTAAGGGAAAGAGTCCTGTGACTGTGATCCTGGAACAAACCTCCTCCCCTACATACCAGAGGCCCTATCCCTAGCAATAGGAGCCAATCACTCAGAGCTTGGTATTGGCTTTTAATTATTTTTCCAATTATTGTTAATGAACTTGGACAGAGAGTCATAGAGGAGTGATATAAAGAGCTCTCTATTTCCCCTCACCCTCTCTGACAGCTTCCTACCCCACCCCCCAGCAGTGGAACCTAGAATGAAGGGTCAGAGGTGGCAACAGTGGGCCAATCTGCCATACTGCTGTTTTGGGGGTAGATTTAAAGCGCCAAAGAACACTTTGGGGTGATCTAGATCAGCACCTTCATTCTACTGGCAAGAAAACAGGACCCAAGAGTGAACTGACCAAGGTCACAGGTAAAATAGCAGAGCCAGCATCTGATCTCATGCCCCTTGCCTCCAAATCCATCCCTCTTCTCAATAGGGAGGGATTTAAGGACTATCTGGGGACCTTGGACAAGCAAGGCTCCTCCCTCACTGCTTCCTCCCTTCCCTAGAACTGTGCATCCATCACCACAACCAGCTCCTGTGCTGAGCACCATTTGTCATGTCAGTTACCAGAGGCAGGCCAGAGTAGGGGCTGAATACCAAGAGATTTCTCCTTTGATGCCCAGACCACAGCTGTTCAGATTCTCGTTCCCAAAGAATTGCCTTAAAATCTTCAGCTCCAGGTTTCTGCCAGTTCCTCTTCCCCAACCTTCCCAATCAATACACTCTCTCTTCTCCTTACGCTCCCCAAACAGCATGGCGCAAAGCATTGCATTGTTGAAACAATACTGGGCTGGAGGTAAGAACTGGGTTCTTGTCCCAGCACTTCCCATTAGGCAACTGAGTGATGTTGGACAATTCGTTACCCTTCTCTGGGCCTCGGTTTCCTTCAATGCAAAATGGAGGCCCTATGTAAAAGGCCTAGGTGACTTCTAAAGTCTCTTCCAGATGGCTGTCTAAGCTAGCCACAAGCACCACCACCCCCAGTGGGGTTCCAAAGGTTCTGGTGGGGAATCCACATTGTTTCTACTTTTGAGGGGGCAGTTAGAGAAACCAGAAGTGGTCTGAGCCTTTGAATATATCTTGTCCTCTGGCTGGCCCTCAGGCCCTGCTCCCAAGGTCTCTTCATGCAGATTTCCTAAACTGTTGACTCTGGAGAGCCGGCATGATGCAATGGAAAGAGAGATGGTTTTGGAGTCAGCAGATCTGGATTCAAATCCTAGCTTTGCCATTTATAGCCTTGGGCCAATCACTTCAGCTCTCCCGGTTTCAGTTTCCTTTTCTGTAAAAAGAAGCAGATGACCCTCCAGTTCTAAATCTGTGTTCCTAAATCCATTTCTTGTTTTCTCCCAATTAACCCACTGTAGAATAGGCAAAGCCGGCTCAGCCTAAAGAAATGACTGGTTGGGGTATAATTTAGTGCTTTTATGCCAGTTCCCCAATCTGCTTCACTCCTTTGTAAGATTTAGGTGGGGAGGGAGGAACATGACCTCTATGAGAAGGGCCTTTGAGGATGGGCAGCAATTTTCTGGCACCCATAACTCCTGCAGAACCTAGGCAACATAGCCCTCTGCCTGTCTGGTCCCTGCAGCACCAGGATCAGAGGCAGAGGGATGGCCCAAAGGCTGAGCGCAGGGGTGGCCAAGGAGCAGATGGGGAGAAAAGATAAAGACTGTGCAGAAGGCCACTGGGAACATCTTTGCAGAGCCTAATCCCTCATTTTCCTAGGCTGTGGTAGCCTACCCTCATGGAAAGAAAGGAAGCCTTAGGTAAGCAAAGGTAACTTCCAACCTCTGCTGTTTCCAACTAGCCTCTCTCTTTCCCCCATGACCACGTGCCCTACCTGGAGGAGGAAGCCAAAACCTTCCTTTAAAAACCCAGCCCCTCTGCTCAGCGGCAATTATATTCCGTATCATTGTGTGATACACAAAGTACTTGCCATGTTAGAGGCACATACTACAATGGTTCAAGTTCTGGGCTTGGATTCAGGAAGACCAGAACTCAAGTTCTTCCTTAGACACTAACTAGCTGTGCGGCCCTGGGCAAATTGCTTAACATCCCAGCCTGCACCTGCACACACACACACCCCTACCCCTCCTCTTCCTCCTTCCCTCTCACCCACTCTCCCTCTCTCCTCTCCTCTCTCCTCTCCTCTCTCCTTCTCTTCCCCTCTCTTTCTCCCTCTCCTCTCTCCCTCTTTCCCCTTCTCTTTCTCCCTCTTCCCCCCTCTTTCTCCCTCTCCTCTCTCCCTCTTTCTCCCTCTCCTCTCTCCCTCTCTCCCTCCCTCTCCCCCCCCCTCTCCCCCATCTCTCCCTCCCTCTCCCCACCACTGCCACCAGTTGCCAGAGCCAGCTGGAAGAAAAGTAAAGCAAGAAGAGTCAGGTTCCATTAGTGCCCTCGGCAAGAAGCTGCTCAGACACTAAGGAGCACTTTTTTCCTGCAGGTCCTAGCACTGGGCAGGCTTTGTCTTCGGCATGACCAATTTCCACATCCTATTTCTCCTCTTATCCCCCAATGCCTTGTCCACCAAGCTGGTATACCTAAGACTGCTTTTTTATGGGCAAACCCCTAATGTCCCAAGGCATTCCATTTTAGGACACCTGCTTTCTAACCCAAAGGGAGGGATCTCTAAAGATAGGATTTCAGGCATTGTGGCAGGCTAGTGGAGCCTTCTCAGAGCCCATCAAACCTTACTTCCTTAGCATCTCTGTAGGTCTTGGCAAAGGCCAAGGGTGCTTTCCCACAGAAAAGGGACAGGAACATAAGAGGAAAAAGTGGTTGTCTGAGGCCTTGGACGCTGCCTGGTGGCATACCTGGGCTCAGTCATGATGTCACGAGGATACGCATGTACCAAAGCTTGGGAAAAGGCTTTATGGTATCTACCTCTGAAAGATACAGAAGGCAGCCAGGGTCCAGTCTTTCTCAAACTATGTTTAATAATCCAGAGTCTGATGGAGAGAAAACTTCATCTGGATGGAAGAGAAAACTCTTCCCACAATCCTCTCTCTGCCTCCAGACTCTCTCATTCCCAAGTCCAAAGCAGTTAAGGAGGCAGACCAGGCCCAGCTGCGTAGTAATAGGAAACCCAGAAGCCCTTCTGGGTAGACCCAGGTGTCCCTGTGACTTTGACACTCCCACACTTCTGTTCTTGGGGGCAGAGAATGGGAAGATATAAGATACACTCTAAGACAAGGAGAAGGCAACTCCTCCCTGACCCTCTCCTCGGGGTCAGAGATCAGCAAGGTCAAGCAATGACCATGGAAGACATAGACATTCAGTCTGTGGAACACTACTCAGGGCAGAGTCCGGGATAAGTGCTTGGCTACGCCTTGGAAGATCCAGAATTAAGGGCCTACTTGCCCTCTGACTGGGACAGCTCCCAGAGGAGAAGCCATCCTGCCTCCTGCCAGCTCTTTAGCTGAGGTATCCTCCAATAGTGCCCACCAGGTAGTGAGTGGTAAGGGAGCGAACGCCTATCTCACACCTCTGATTCCAAGCTGGAGACCCGTCTCCAAGTGCAGGGTCTCAGGGGACTGTGTGTTCTGCAGGCTATAAGCCCTGCCTCCTTCGACTCCCCCCACCCTCCGCTATCCCTGTAGCCAGAGCCCAGCCCCCCCAGAGTCCTGCCCCTGTACTTTCGAGATCCCCAGGTCTCAGTGAGCCAGGGGGCCCGGTTGGCACAGGATGGGGAATGTGGACACAAAGAGCCCCAGTATAGTGGCAGGGGGGCACAGGGTTTGAGGCAGTATTGTCTGTGCAGCATGGTGGGAGCACCAAGAAGTGCCCCTTCCTGGCATGCCTCCCTGTAGGAGGGCAGTCGAAGGGACTGGGCCTGGGCCAAGTGCTTCCATGCCACTCGGGCATCAGTGCCAGAACGAGAAGGGCTCCCCCTAGCTTGAACAGCCTGGGAGGGGCACAGGGCAGGCATTGAGGCTGCCGGTGGGGTCAGGCCAGGTGGAGAGCAATACTCAGGCATTGACCTTGGCCAGGAGCCCTGGCGCAGGCATTGCCCACGGGACCAAGCTGAGCGCAGGAGCGCCTCGCGTCGTGCCAGTTGATCAGGTCCCAGGAGAGGCAGGTCCTCCGGTTCTGAGGGCTCTGGGAAAAGTGGGAGAAAGGGGCGGCCTGTCCGGTCTGCCCAGAGGAGGGATCCATGGGCACAGGGAGCAGGCGAGAGTGGGCACTCAGGGGGCTGGCACCCACCTGAGGCTGAGAACAGCCTGCCTCCATGTCCTGAACCCATTCGTCGGGGAGACCCCTTGCCAGGACACCCAGGCGCCTGAGAGATGTCAGGCAGGGGCAGATTAGGTGAAACAACATGGGCAAGGGGCTGAAGGACCCTTTGGACCATCAGGTCCCCAGCCCCACCCTGGCCTTTGTGACCAGGGTCATGGGGACCGCCCCTGGGGATTGGGGGCCATGAGCTCGGGGCTCTAGTGGCTTTGCCGGGCAAGCTCAGCGGCCCGCTTTGCAGCAGCATTTGGGGCTCACAGCGGTTGCCCCAACTCTCAATGGTGCGAGTGGCACAGTCCAGGGAACTTCCCACACCTGCCGTATTCACCATTTTCTTTGCTGCCTGGAGCATCTTCAGCACGTTGGCCTGAGCAGAGCCTGCCGTCAGATCCGGGCTGGGGGACCTTGTGGGGCTGAGGTTCTGTACCCCACTGAAGCAGCTGTAGATCCCCTGAGCCAGAATGAGGAAGAAGGTGGTGAGAGTGCTTGATGGGCAGCAGTAGCCACAGAGATGTAGTAGGAGGGAAATGACCACACACCAGGGACCACACCTCCTAAGTCGTCAGCCCTTGGCCTTTCCATCCAGCCCTGGGGATCTCTAAGCACCTGCCCAGTAGGATAGGTTCCTTTCTGCAAGCCTAGGGGTGACGGGAATAGTCAGGACAGGGGAGCAGGGATGACGGCAAGGCTGAACTGATCTACACAAGTACCTACCCTGCTAAAGGCCAGTAGGAAATCCAGTCTTGGAGTATGTGGCACAGAGTGTCGGAGCTTCCAAAAGACCAAGTGCTCCCAGGCGAAGACCAACAAGGCCAGCCCCATGGCTACCAGGAGCATATAGAAGACACCCGCCATGTTGTCAATGTCCAGTTTGCTGCTCATGACCTCATTCTTCTCATTCTGGCAGATCCCTGATAGCCACACTGTTTCCAGCTTTTGGGTCTCCCCTGAAGGACAGATCAAAGCTAGGGTAAGGCTTCCTCAGCCACCCCCTCTTCTCCCACTTGTCTACCCAACCCAACGTGGGAGGAGCGGGGCAGAGAAAAGGAAGCAGTGAATTAGGAATCCTGAAGTCTCAGAGCTAGAAAGGACTTCAGAGGCAGTATGGTGCAAGGTGGGCCTGAACAAGAATCCCCTCTACAGTAGACCTATAAGTGGCCACCAAGTACCTGCCCACTCCCTACAAAGATGGCCATTCCACTTTGGACAGCTCTTCATTGTTAGGAAGGCATTCCTGATAGAAAGCCAAAATTTAAAATTTGCCTCTTTACAATTTCCACCCATTTAGATCCTGGCCTTTCTGCCTTGTGGGGCCAAACAAAACACATCTAATCTCTAGTTCATGAACTTGAAGGCACTTATCACATCCACCCTATCTCCTCTTTTCCAGGATAAACATCCCCCAGTTAAATTTGACCAATCCTCAGTTGCTATAAATGTGAGCCCTTTCACAATCCTTGGGAAGGGGATTTGACATGGTGGTGCCTGCCTGGAATCCTTACTGCTGGGATGGTGGACCTCTTGAGCTCAGTTCTGAGCTATAGCAGAGCTAAAGCTGATTGGTCTCTGCACTAATCCTGGCACCAGTAGGGTGAGCCTCCAGTAGTGGGGGTCCATGAGGCTTCTTAAAGAGGGACAAATTCACCCAGGTCAGAGACCGAGCAGATCAAAGTTCCCATGCCAATCTGCATGGGGATTTGAGTGATCAATATACTTCTAAGCCTGGGTGAGATAGGGAGCCCAGTTCTCAAAATCAAACCTCAGCAGAAGAAAGGAACAGGGATTAACAAAACATCCCCAGAAGTACTGTTGTTCAAGAAATAGCATTTAATCATCCCCTAGAAATGGATCATTTGATCATACAGAAACAGTGGATGATTCCCCAAGTCTTAAACTTTGATTGACCTAGAAAGGCAGTCTGAGACTTCCAGGCCTTTTTTTATGCCTGACACAGCTTCCCCTGGGCCCAGGACCCTACTCTGTGACTTGGAGGAGGTCTCGATTGAGTATTCATAGGTAATCCATAAAAGTAAAGAACCAAGAGATGGCCCTAATATGAAGCTGCCATGTCTTCCTAGAGAAGTCAACCTCACAGATGGGACAGGAGCAATGAAGTTGAAGCCAGATGGTGGAGTAGGTGTCCAGAGCCATATAGCTGAGAGCCCTCCTCAGTCCCTTCTGAAGCAGGCTCCCTCACCACCTCACTCACACATTTTGCCTTGCAGACAGGGCATCTTAGGCTTTCTTTGTGTTATGGACCCCTTTGGCAGTATAGGAAAGCCTATGGACCCCTTCTCAGAATTAAAAAAAAATTTTAATTTAAATTTAATTTTAAAAATTATTCATAATTGAAGGAAATACTAAATTTCAGTTTGAGGTTGCAAAATATTGTAATTTTTTTTCTCACTTAAGTTCACTGGCCCCCTGAAATCTATCTATAGACCTTTGTGGCAGGACCCTTTTAGGGGTTAAGGACCCTTGCCCCAGATGTCTCTTCAGCCCCCTCCCTGTCTTCATCCTGACCTCTCCACCTAACCATCCTTGTTCCCCCTCCCTTGACCCCAAGCAGTCTCCCATGACCTCTAGAACCTCATGGCTTATTCTGTGAGGAAGTAGACCTCAGCCATTAGCTCCATGATCTTCACTTAAGTTTCTTCATGGGTACCCCCAAACCAAACTGCTTTCCCCATACCACAAAAAGGTTAAGGAGTGCTTGTGCTGCACCCTCTCTTGCATCCCAACACATAACAGGGAGAGAGGGGGGACCTAGATCAGAAGAGTTAGCTAAGCAAAAGGAAGCATGATACAGCCAGCTGGGCACAGGCTTCTTAGCTGGTGCCCAAGGAGCCTCAAGCCATCAGTGTCAGCCTGCTAGGCAGCTGTCTCCTAGAGATAGGCCCCACCCGGGGTGCTAAAGGCCCCCAGCACAACCCACCGTCCCCCAGGAACTGTAGGAGCGCCAGATCAATGGCCCGTTTCCAGCGGGAGTCCTTCTGCAAAGCGATGCCGTAGCCGGTGGTAGCAAAGACCTTGCCTGACCCAATGGTCACCAGCTTGCAGCCCTCATCTTTGCCCGCCATATAGTTGAGAACAGCAGCATCATAGATAAAGGCATCCAGCTTCCTAGAGCCAGGCAAAACCCTCGGTGCCAGAAATAGGCACCAGAGGGTGAAGGGATCTCAGCCAGATGGACCCTGGCTAGATAACGCCAGGAAAGGAGCAGGCCCTAGTACAAATAGGACATGTTCCTTTCCCTCCCCCCACCCTCACAGTTCTTTCTTTCCCTCCCCCCCAGGGAATAAGACTCTGCATCCCCCCTCCCTGGAGGTCCCACAGGCAACTCAGGTGGGTGTTCCTCGGCCCTCCCACACTGGGGTACCTCAGTGACCAAAAAGGGGGAAAGAACTAAGGCTCACTGGATAGGAAACAGATTCCCAATGGAGACAGAGGAGCGGAGGGTCAGATGCCAAGCCTTGGAGAAGAAGATGAGGGCTTGGAGGACCCAGAAAACCAAGATGACCTACCCCATCTTGAGGCTGGTAAGTGCATCCTCCACTGAGCGCTGGTTAAACTTGACCATGTGGCTATGCATATCTCGGTAGTTGCTACGTATGTTGCGCTCTGTGCTGCCATTGGGCACTGTGCCAAAGCGGAACGGAGGGTACTGCTCCTGGGGTCGCTGGAACTTCAAGGGAGAAGCCACCACATCCATGCACTCCTCCCAAGGGATGTTCCCCGAAGACCACCCCACCCAAAGCTCTTGCCCACCAGCTGCAGGTCCCTCTTTCTATCATCTCTTCTCTATACTGCCTCCGAGGTTCCCTGATTAGAGGGAGAGGGTCAAAAACCTAGTCATCCAGGCCAGGGCGAGTCACATGGGGCTCGGGTCCTACTGGTACAGAAGGCTTCACAGCACCCTTGCCCATGCTCTGTTGTCTGAACTGCCCCTGTCTGGATCTGTTTCCCAGGTGACTGGACGTCCTGGCAAGAAGCCTGCCTACCAATGAGGAGATGGCACAAGTTGGGGGTGAGGTGGGGTGGAGATGGGCAGCTCAGCTCTCGCTTCATCTGATTCCCAAACTGTTCCATTCCTAGCCTTTCTTGTCTTTTACCCTAACCCACCTCTCCTCTCTTCTCCCCTTTGTCCCTCTTCCGCCCCACACCCTATAGTCCCCTCTGCCCTGTGCAGGTCCCTCACCTTCTTGTCACTGAGGCCAGACACAGTGTCAATGTACTGCTCCTGAATCATAAAGGCGGCCAGGTTGGCCGTGTAGCTGGCGAGGAAGATGACAGCAAAGAAGGCCCAGACAAGTACCATGATCTTGCTGGTGGTTCCCCGCGGGTTCTCAATAGGCACTGAGTTGTTGAAGACCAAAGCCCACAGCAGCCAAATAGATTTGCCAATAGTGAAGGAGGGACCCCCAGACTCTGTGTGAGGGAGGGGAAAGGGTGAGAGGTCAATGGGACGGGGGACCAAACGCCACCTCCTAAGGGAGTGACTTCACTTCTCCTCTCCCCTCCCCTGCGTCCTTACCCGATTCTCCGCCCCCCCAAACCAGAAACCCGCAAGAATCATAGCTCTGGGCCTTTTTGTTTGTTTTTTGTTTGGTAGGGGGTTGGTAGAAAGCAGACTCACAGAATCATGGGATTTAGAGCTGGGAGAGATTATAAGACCAACTCCCACAATTTGCAGATACATTTTGGGGGATAACTCAAGGTATTGAGTTAAATTATTCTGATTTTCTTTTTGAAATGATAGGAAAATTTTTGTGTGACTTTTCTTTCTGCCCTCTTCTCCACTTTGGACAGAGGGAAGGGAGACACACCTGCTCCCACACTTACAGTCCATGCGACCATGGATAAATCACTTAAATCTCTTTGAGTCTCACATCTCATGTCTAACATGGGAGTAATTATGACTTGCACTTTCTATCTTGCAAGGTTGAAGTGAAAAAAAAAACTTTTAAATTCTTGAAGCCTTTAAACCTTATAGAAATGAGAGCTATTATTATCTGTTAGAGAAACAGCTTGGCATGATGGATAGAGGGCCAGTCCTGGAATGAGGAGGTCAAAGTCCTGGAGTCAGGAAGGCCTGGTTTTAAGTGCTGGCTGTGACATACTATGTCACTATGGTCAGGGTCACTTAACCTCTCTCTGAATGCTCCTCAAGTAATGATCTAAGATTACAAGTTGCAAATTAGGTGCTTATCTATGTCTGGGGAGGTTTCAACACTGGGAATTCCCTACACAGATTCAGTTTTCTCCAACACACACACACACACACACCCCTCCCCATATCCAATAGTTAGCTGAGTAATTATTAATGATATTAGTAGAGTGCCCACAAACCCTCCATGGCAATAGGGAAGCTTCCTAAGAAGGAGCTTGATCTAATTAACTCAAATAAAAGAATTAATTCAGAATTGGCTTAGAGTATTTTCACCACCAAAGAAGCATTCTCATGAAGGGAGGGGGCAGGGAGAATGGGACAGGGGAGACATTGGGGGAGGGCATAAAGGAAACTCCAGACAAAAGTCAATCTGGAGAGTGTGTGTGTGTGTGTGTGTGTGTGTGTGTGTGTGTGAGAGAGAGAGAGAGAGAGAGAGTGTGTGTGTGTGTGTGTGAGAGAGAGAGAGAGAGAGCGCGCGCGCATTGACAGGTTAAGAGCTCTCACTGAGAGCAAATCAGTGAGTGATTTGCCCAAGGTCACACAGGCTGTTCCAGAAGAAATTCAGGAGGTTTGGTGACTGGAGGTGGAGTCAGTGATGGAGAAAGTTTCAAAAAATAACAAAATGTGGTCCTCCTGGCCCTCCCCACCAGTAGCAGTCAGGGAGGTGACTGCTGTGGAAGCCCAGCCAGGCTTGCACCCTTCCCACCCCCACCAGGAAGCTAGGGGAGGGGGAGAAGGAATCCAGAGTGTGGGGACCCTTCCAGACCCTGAGGAAGGGCTTGTGAACAGCCTGGTATCAGAAGCAGGGCTGTAGAAGATCAGCCATTATAGCATTCTACAATGCCACACCTCCCTCTTAGCCAATCAGCAAACATCTTCTCTTCCAGGGCTAGCTTATGGGTGCTCTCATGTATAAAGTCCTGGATTCACCTATGTAAGCCTCAATGTCCTATTCTGTAAAAATGGGCATGATAATACTTCCAGTGCCTACCTCCCAAAATCCTCTCAGAGACCTCCAAATTCTGGGGAAGGGTTGTTGGGTGGCACACGTGACATAAAGTATGTAAAGTGCTTTGCAGATTTAAGAAGTGCTATATAAACATCTGCCCTTCATTTATTAGACTAGTGACCCTAACCTCCAAACCCCTCTCCTTCCAAGGTGAGAGAGAAGAGAGGATGATCCCATTCCCCAGCACCCCAGAAGAATCAGAATAATTCACCCCGAGGCATAGGTCACCCTGAAGTTCACAAAAGACACTTTTGCTTATACTCTCACCACCGTAGGCACAGCCTTCACCCCTGTCCTGCCTGCCTCCCCTCCTTCCCTCTCCCAGCCACCTCATACAGAAGGATTCAGACATATGATCTAGGGTCTCATTTCTATGCTATTCACTTCTAGGCAGGATATTCAAACATCTACATTCAGGTTCTCTCTCACCACAGCCTTCCCCTCACATCTCTTCTGTTCAATCCCTGTTTTCTCCTCCCTCTGTGTTTCCAGTAGTACCTGGCCCTTTCTCTCACTGTCCCCCTTTATTGCCCTCATCCCCCCAGTTCCCTCGTTCACTGCTTCCCTTCCACCGACTGACCTCATTCATTAGCCTTGCTCACCCCATCACCACCAGCCTTATTAACTAGCCCGCCTCACTTAAATGACTTGCCTGGGGTCATACGGCTGGTAAATGTCAAGTGTCTGAGGTCTGATTGAACTCGGATCCTCCTGACTCCAAGGCTGGTGCTCTATCCACCATACTACCTAGCTTCCCCGAGCCCATCTCACTTTGGCTCCTTCACTGTCCCCTGTTGGGGCCTCCTTTACTGGGCCCCTCTTCATCAGCTTCTCTTCACCTCCCTGGTGGAGAGCGGTGCTTCTTTTTCATCAGCCTCTCCTACACAGATCTTCCACCTGAGGAGCACCTCACCTGGCTCTTCCACTGCCCCCGCCCCTCACTAGCCTCCTATTTGACAGCCTATCCCCTCCTCCAAACCACAGCTGCCCTTTCATTGGTTCCTCCCTGTAACCTCACTTCTCCTTTAACTGGGTCCTAGCTGCATTGTCCCTCCCTCACTGGCCCTTCCATCACTAACCTATTCACCAGCCTGCCCTTCTACTGGTGCCACCCCACACACACACACCACTGGCCACTTCTTCATTGGATCTACCATCTTCACTGATCCCTAACTCCCAATGGCTTGATCCATCACTGTCTTGAACCGGCTGGCTTCAGCGGCCCCTCATTAGATTTTCTTCTCTCAGGCCCTCCTTCCTTGCCCTCCCATTGGCTTCCCCTTGCTAGGGGTCACTCACTCTTGCCGCTGGTGAGGTTCTGGTTGTAACTGACTGGGCTGAAGTACTCGAACATGAAGACAGTGATGGCCACCACGGTGAGACACATGACAAACATCATGACCCACACGGCTGGGCTGTAGGGCTCTGAAAGGGAGAAGGGCCGAGGTCAGAGAAGGTCATCAGAGCATTCTTAGCTCTGACTCCCTCCCTCACCCAAACTCCCCACCACCACCACCACCACTACCACACTCTCACTCTTCACCCAGTGAGGGAGCAGAGTCCTCGTGGCCCTCCTCACCAGCAGCAGGCAGGGCTTGTGAACAGCCTGGTATCAGAAGCAGGGCTGTAGAGGATGCCAAGAATTTGGAGGTGTCTGGGAGGATTTCTCCCCCTCCCCACACATAGAGCTGGATTAATGCACCCCCTGGACCTCTGTGCACTTCTGCTGTCTCCCCAAGAACAGGTCCCTTCCCTTCTACCTTTAAATATACAGGTTGCCAGCATTCAAACATGTATACACACAGCCCAAAAACCTGCATTTGACTTCACAGTGCCCTGGAGCTACTGTCCCCTTCCAGTATCTTTTCATAGCAAGATTTCTTGAAAGAGTGATCTATCCTCACTTGCCTCCATTGATCTCTCTTCAACCCCTTGCAATCTGGCCTGCTTCCTCAGACCACACCAGATTACCACCATTCCTACATACTACCCAGCTAAAACTGTCTCCATTGTTCTCTCCAACAACCCCAGTGATGCCTAATCACCAGGTAAAAAAGCCTTTTCCTCATCCTCCTAAACCACTCCGTGACATGCACCCCAGAGGAACGTTGCCAGCCAACACTCTTGACTCCCCTCTTTGCTCTCCTCCTACCTCTCTGACTATTCCTTCCCCCTCTGCTGGGAGGACAAAACCTCAGGTTTTTCCTCCAGGTCCATCCCACCCCAATAAGGAATTAAGGCTTTTCCATTCTCAGAGTATCAACTGCCACCTTACGGTAGTTACGTGGCATAGGGCATAGAACATTGGGCTTGGAATCAAGAAGACCCGAGTTCGAATCTTTCTTCAGATGTTTATTATCTGAGTGATCCTGAGTCATTTAGCCTCACTGTGCCTCAGTTTCCCAATTTGTAAAATCAAGGGGTTGGACTCCATGGCTTCTATGACTCCCAGATATGCACTTTAAGCCCCGACCTCTTTTGCAAGCCTTTAGCTATCTCCAAATAGCCTGAATATTTTCTAGATATTTTCATTTAGCATAAGATTATAGATTTAGGACAAGAAGGTATCTTAGAAGTTATTGAGTCCAACCCATTCATTTTACGGGTGAGAAAAGTGAGGCCTGAGTGACAAAGGTCACCCGGGTAATAAAAGTGGGGAGCTAAGGTTTGAACCCAGGTCCTCTAACTTCAAATTCCAGCCCTTTGATATATCACCATTACCTCAAATTCTTCCTCAACCTTCTGCACTTCAGTCTGTCCAGAAAGTGTAGCCCACACCCCCATGGCCCAAGAGCCCTACACACCTTGGTAGACAGTTTTATCATTATGGGAAAAAGTCATCAGCCAGTGACCAAGCCCCCGTTAATCAGCCTCTGCAGACTTAGTCTGGTCCTTGAATAAAAGAGGCACACAGTTCTTCACCAGACCTGAAC